GGCCTACAATGATTTTCACAGCTTTCATGGTAAATAAATTCTAGCTTAATACCCAAGCCCCTTAATGATCTGATTCCTATGGATTTTTTTTAGATTCATCACCTACCATTTGTTCAAATCATCCTAATGGCAACATTTATTGAGCTGCTCTATGTGCTAGGCACCGAGCTAGATGCTTTTCATCTTATTTAAACCTCATAACAACTCAGTTTTACCTATTTTGTACAGATGAGGAAATTGAGGCAGAGAGAGTTTAAGAAACTTGCCCGAAGTAAGTGACAGAACCAGGCTTGAACTCGGATGTGAGTGTCACTCAAGGCCAAGCCCTTATACAACATACAGCATGCTTCAAAGTGTAGACTGAGAGCACCTGCATCAAAATCTGGGTTACTTGGGACTCCCGAGTGGCTCAGTGGTTGAGCATCTGCCTTCGGCTCAGGGCCTGATCCCTGGTCCAAGGATGGAGTCCTGCACTGAGCTTCCTGCAGGGAGCCTGCGTCTCCCTGCCTATGTGTCTGCCTCTCTCTCTCTGTCTCTCATGAATAAATAAATAAAATCTTAAAAAAGAAAAATCTGGGTTACTTGTTAAAATGCAAATTCCTGTACTCTGTCCTGGACCTGATGAGCTGGACTCCTCAGAGATAAGTCCTTAAGCTCTGTATTTTACATAAGCCCTCCAGGTGAGGTACAAAGCACAATGCTACTGTCCTGTACTATATACTTTCAGTCGCAAGAAGTAATTCCTCCAATGTGCTATACTGTTCTGCATGCCTTGCCCAAGCTTTTCCTCTTACTGAAACATCTCTGCCTTCTCATCTTTATCTTTCAAGACTCAGCCTAAATGGCCCCCCTTCTAAAAAGCCACTTATTCTTCACCCTGATTTTGAAGCCCATTCTCCTCACCGCACCAAGAACATTGGGCAAAGTCCTCTCCAGCAGCACTTCCACATCTCAGAGGCATTGGTTTACTGTTCATCCCCTCGCCAGAATATAAGCTCCTCTGCACTAGCTATCTGTCCCTCTATCACCTGGTACAACTCCTTGCTGTAGTGTATGTTGGCTAAGTGTTCATTAGATTCCCTCCCACCTCTTCACCTTCCTGACTCATCCCTTTCCAATAGGCCCCTGTTGGTAAACATTGTATTTTAATTGCTGTTTCAGTTAGGAACATGTTCAGCAGCAAATCAGACACAGCCTAATAGCAGCCTGAGCAAAAAAGATGTTTTATTACCTCATATTCTAGAACCATAGAGGGGAGAGGTTCCAGTTTTGGCAGAAAGGCTCCACTCTACCAATGGGGTTATAGCCTCTTTGCCTCTTGAAGAATGGTGCCTTTGTTGTGTAAAATGAGTGGCCACTTTTACTTGTTCTTAATGTCCACTAGATGTGCATTTAACATTGAATTCCCCTAATCAATTAACCCAGTTTATAAGCTTTGGTAACTAAAAAATTATAAACATTTATAAATTTAACATACCTGATTTTCTCAAGCATTTCTAATGCTGAACAGACAAAATTTTCTAAGCACTGAAGCAGCTCTTAGAATGAAAAAAAAAAAAACAGAATGAATCAAACCATGGTAAATCAAGTTATTTTAATGAGTTCAATACTCCACAAACTTAATCAAATTCATACAAACTCATGGCTTTGAATATAAAAACCATCAGTCTGTAATCCACTATATATTTTAAATTGAAATCACAAGGCAAAAGTGACAAGTTTTCAAATATGCCAGATTCTCAAACATTAGAGGCTTGAAATCACAAGCACATCATTTTATCCTGAAGATAATGTATTTTCCCATACTTCTACATAATCATTTCAACTGTATATCTTTTGTGGTCATATGATAAAAAAAATGTGTATGTTTTCCATCAGATTGAAGTGAATTCCAGAGATCTGGAAAAAAACTAAATAGAAAAAATATAAATAAATAACAAAAATATAAATAAAAGTAAAATATCATTTTAAATATATATGAGATTGGTAATAACCTGGAGAAACAGACCATCTTATTATTCGGAGTATAAATTGTTGTAAATTATTGGAGGAACATTTGGCAATTTGGCCAAAATTTTAAATTATATTTTCCTTTGACAGAACAATTCCACATGTAAGAATTAACCCTATAAAAATACCTGCTTTCCATTGATGATGTATATATAATGATGCTCCTAGCAGCATTATTTGTAATAATGAAAAGTGGGAAACAACTTAAACACCCACTAAGGGTAAACTAGTTAAATAATTGTGGCATATCATATATGTAGCAGCCTTGAAAGATATCCAAGATTCCAACACCTAGGATGGTTCCTGTCACACAGTAGGCTCTCAATAAATGTGAACAAATGAATAAAGGATCAAAAGTAACTTGTTGTATTCTTTATTTTGTTCATTCATTCAACAAGTATTCTTTGGGAATATGATGGTGAGCATAAACAGGCCCAGACAATTTCCTTCACATAACACAGTCATTAATTCTTCAAATTTCAAGTAAGGATAAAACTGGTAGGAATTATGAAGAAAAAGAATAAAACTGATGGCAATTATGAAGAAAAAGGACATCCAAATCATACTTGGATGATTTGATGTGGTCTAGGAGATCTAATATAAATAATTTACTGGTGTATTATATACATGCTAGTAAATACATTGAAATACAGTGGTTATGGGATTAAATGTGACTTAAACTCTTTATATAAGATAGGTCTGTATTATTTGTAAGTTTCTCATAATAGCATGTATGCATAATACCATGTATCAGACAAAGCTCTAAATGTGTATATCCTAAATCTGAATAAATAGTTTACATACCATGTTGGTGTTCCTCAAAGTGTTTGGGGAAGAAGAATGAATTTCATGCTTGCTTGAGAGGAAAGCAAAGTTGTAGAGCTCTAGCTATTATGGTGGGCAGAATTCTAAGATGGTTCCAAGGATTTCCACTCCCTACTCCACATACCTCCTAGTTATGCAATCAAACACAAATCTAGGCATTGCTGTCAAGGGATTTTCCAGATATAATTAAAGTTTGTCATCAGTTGACTTAAGTTATGAAGATCCTTCTAAGTGGCTCTGATCTAATCAAGGGAGTCTTTATAAAGACATTAAAGCAGAAGAAACTCTTGTTCACCTTGAAGTAGCAAATAACCATGTATGAACTGTCCATAACAAGGACCTGAAGGTGGCCTCTAGGAGCTGAGAGTCCCACCAACAAAAAGAAAATGGGAACTTCAGACCTACAGCTACAAGACTGAATCCTGCCATCAACCAATGATTTTAGAAGACCCAACTCTCAGATAAGATCACAGCAATGGATGGCCAACACCTTGATTTGAGCCTGATGAGATCCTGCCCCATATCTGGACTCCTGACTCACAGGAACTGTGAAATAATAAATGTGTGTTTTTTTAAGTTGCTAAGTTTGTGGTAATCTGTTACATAGCATTAGAAAACTAATATAAATAGTATTGGGAATCAAGATGGCTTGCAACCTACGGCCTGACATACTGGTCCCCACCCTGATAGCTAGCAGTTAAAAAAAAAAAAAAAGTCAAGAGATGTTTCACTGACAAGGAACCAGGTAGCAAAACAAAACATGTATCCAATACAATTTTATTCATTCTATCAATACCATCTTGCCCAGAAACTGTTTTTCCTCATTGCTCCAAAGCAATCGTGCATTTGCCATTAAAACATTGACTTTCCCAGAAATGTTTTTACCACTATTTCTTTTAGGGATGTAACTAATATAGCCCATGGGCATTTCTGTCTCCCACTGAGCATTAGTTCTTGTTACCCTGCAGAACTTGTATGGAATATTCTTTGCATTAGGCTCTCCCAACAGGTTGACTGTCAGCAGTCTTGAAACCTGACAATCATTCTCCACCTCACTGCACATTAGAATCAGCTGGAAAACTTTAAAAATACTGATTCCCAGGCCCCCCACCCTAGACCCATTAAATCAGAATTTCTGGAGTTGGGCTCAGACTTTGGTATTTTCAAAAAGCTCCCCAGTGATTCTCATGTGCAGCCAAATAGGAAGCTACTGGAGTTTACAGCAAAACTACTCCCACTTGTACATACAAGTCACCTGGGATCTCATTAAAATACAGGTTCGAATTCAGAAGGTCTAGGTTGGACTTGATGTGTTGCATGTCTAACTCACCAGGGATGCCGACGCTGCTGGTTCTTGGGCATACTTTGAGTAGCAAGGTCTTTATGGGATTGCTCTTCCAGATGCATACCCCAATCAGGCCACCCTACCTTCATGCGCGTCTTCATGACTTCAAGAGACAGCTCATCTCTTTGTCACTTTTATTCTGTCCTCCCACCATGTTCTCTTCTTACTTCCCCCCACTCCCTTCTGTGTAGCTATTGGTGTCTTCTCTTAGCTTCCCTCCCATTCTCTTCCTCCTTTTATTCCATGTAGTTATCATAACTTGGGGGTAAAATCTAAAGTTGTACCTTCTCGGCAAAAGATTCTGAAACTCTTATATAAAGTCTTGACTCGGGATCCCTGGGTGGCGCAGCAGTTTGGCGCCTGCCTTTGGCCCAGGGCAGATCCTGGAGACCCGGGATCGAATCCCACGTCGGGCTCCCGGTGCATGGAGCCTGCTTCTCCCTCTGCCTGTGTCTCTGCCTCTCTCTCTCTCTCTCTCTGTGTGTGACTATCATAAATAAAAATAAAAAAAAATAAAGTCTTGAGTCTGTCATGCAAGAGAACAATATTTATTTATTTATTTATTTATTTATTTATTTATTTATTTATACAAAAAGGTGGTTTTTTTAAAGCACAAGGATGGTAAGTAGAAAGAGCTACTGCCTCTTACACATTTTAAAGAAGGTGGTTCACAATAATTATTAACCTATGATAGCCAGTTGTTTTCATTTCTATAAACCATCAACCAAAATAAAATTTAAGAATGTTTTATTCAGAGGAAAAGAAATTGCATCACAAACTGCATGTAGAATTGAGGATTTTTTCCCCCCACTCCCTTTAGAGTATGAAGCTGAGCTGCCTCCCTTTCCAGATGGATATAAAGTCAAACAAGAAGCAATGATTACTGTGAGTATCACCCAGGCCTCAACCTAAAAAGAAAGGCTCTTATGTGAGAACAGTGGTGATGTCATGAGTTGGGAAGGTGGGAAAGGGGAGGCACTGGAATTAAAACCAGAAATTGGGGCCAGTCCTAGCTCTACTACTACTGGTGTGTCTTAAAAGGCATCTTATGACCAGTCTGAGCCTTGTTTTCCACATCTGTTAGGCGGAACAGATAATCCTTGAGTGACTTACGGGACCTCTGGGACTCAAATGAGATTCTGGATGAGAAAGGTCTTTACAAAGGAGTCAATATATGTCCATGTTGGGAACAGTTGGGGATAGAGTGCATTTTTCTATGTATACCAGTGTGGGCAAGGTAGAGACTGTACTAAAAGGGCCAAGGATGAGGCAGCCAGGAAGGGGGTGGTTTTGGGCATATACTTGGAGTAAAATAGGGACTTAATGGAGTTTAAAGTAAGGGAGCAAAAACTCTAAGAGATTCAGGGACTTGATCGGGGTCACTGGGATGGGATCAAGTCTAAGTCTCTAAACTTCCAGTAGGTTATTGCAGCAGCCACTATTAGAGATTCTTGTGTCGAAGAAATTTCTTGGCCTGTGATTGCTCTTTTTTCATAGCATCCTGTTCTTGCTCTATAGATGTAATGCTTCTCCAAATTTCTCTGCAGATACCAATTACAGTTCCCTCCCCTGAATTGTCTGTGTTTCTTCCAGAACTTATTGTTCTTTGTAGATCTTGATCTTTGTCTTTTGTGCTGTTGATGTTCTTTATCTGTGTAGACAACTTTGGTTATTTATTCAAAATTTAAAATGGGGGTCTGAATGGATTTTCCTATGTAGCTGGTATGATTTTCTTCTACTATTGGACATGTGGATTTGTCTTCTGGATGAGTCTCTTTGATGAGTAGAAACATAAACTAGGAGCTCATGGGGAGTGATTGTCTACTGGAAGACTTTTCTTCAGGGTTTGCAGACAGCCTCCAAATCAACAGTGAGGTTTTTTTTTTTTTTTTTTTTTTTTTGTTGTTGTTTTTCCTTTTGGCTACCTACCTGGATGGCAAATCATTGAAGTCATTGGAAAGGAGGGAGAACTGGATATAAAATGCTGGTGGGAATGGAGTTTTATGTACATTGAGAAGGGCAGAAGCAGGAGGAGGGGGAATGTAGACAGGTCAGTGGACTCTCAGCCAGATTTTTACTTAACCCTTCCTGTTTATCATTCCCATCCTCTGAGGAATTGAACCCCTAAGAATTGAAGCCTTTTGGAGTTCTGATGGGAAGAGGCACTCCCATCCTCTGGGGCAGTTTCCTCCTGTGAATCCTGGGCTGCCATTCCCTCTCTTTCTTATTTAATAACAGTTTTTATCCCTGTTTCTTTTGGAAATGTTTGCAAATCTTCTATCCATCAATGATTCTCCTGTTCTTTTCTCTATTAGGGCCCTATTCCTTGATTGTCATTTATAGGTGTCTCAGAAGGGAAGAGGGACAAAGATTTGTACTCATTATGCCCCCTTGAACCTGAAGTTAATAAAAAATTTTATCCTTTGTTAGTTTAACTATTTGCATGAATTGATTCCCTCCCCAACCCCCCCCCATCAGGTTTCACCATTAGAGGAAGCAGTTCTCCATGGCTTCAATACAGAGCACCTTTATTCAGTTCCTCATTTGACCATGGACTCGCATGTACCCTGTCCTCAAGTTCAGTTGGAAACAATCGATCCAAAAACATGTAAGTAAGGAGGTGAGATTTTGTCTTTTATAGTTTGAAGCTTGTAACATTGTAAGACCACAGGATGAGGTTGGGATAGACAGAACTCAGGGAGACCACAAAAATATGAAAGAATTATGCTCTTGTTTTAATTTGTACTTTATTTTTTATTTTTAAAATATGTATCATAATTTTATTTTATTTTTTAAATATTTTAATTTTTTAAATATAAGTAGGCTCCATGCCCAACGTGCGGCTTCAACTCACAACCCTGAGATCAAGAGTCACATACTCTACTGACTAAGCCAGCCAGGCACTCCTTAATTTTTATTTTTAGGAGAAGTGCCTTTATCCCACTGGTTTGTCTTTAAGGTTGAAATATAATAAGGATGATAAATAGCAGCAAGTATACCTTGATTCTACCTTAAAACCAAAGGTGGGGGGGGTTGTAAAAAGTGGGTGAAAGTATCTCGTTGGCCTGCTTTGTGGGTTGAAGTCAGAGGTATAGGCTTTCTACGTCTTCTCCCTGGGCCCACTTCCTGTAGCCCTGCCTGGTGCCTGACCTCTCCTGCCACTTTATTCTGTCCTCTCTGCTAGTGTGCTTTGGGCCTTGGCAACCATTTACCACCATTATTGTGGCCACAGGCCCCGTGAATTGTCCCTACCCTGCTCCTCTCCGGCCATGTTGCTACTACACTTCCCTTGCTTATTTTCCCTCCAGCCACACTGGCCTCCTTGCCTGAAGCCCTGGCCCTGTGCAGGACCCTGTTAACTCCTCACCAGTCCTCAGAGGCTCAAAAAGATATTTTAAGAGTCCTTAATAATACAGCCCAACTCAGCCTTCTGGAGTAAAATACAACATTTAAGGTCATGTTATTTTACCGACAGTATCTTTTTTTGGTTCAGAAACAAACATTTCTCCCAGATTCATTTGGGCCATTTGGGATTTTCAGTGGGATATTTTTTGGTTTGATTTAGGTTCCCCCAAGGAATATTTAGAAACATTCATCTTTCCAGTTCTGCTTCCTGGAATGGCTAGCCTGCTTCACCAAGCAAAGAAAGAAAAATGTTTCGAGGTCAGTTTCTCTGTGGGGTTCTTTATTTCTAAATGCCCAGTAATTCATTTTTATCAGATGGTACCTCATTATCTCAGTACCATCAAGTGGTCGTTCTCAAAACAATCCCTTTGGGAGGGAGAGCTATATTTTGGTCACTCACACAACTCTAGCCATGACATCTAGTGCATTCACATACACTGCCATCTGTCTGGCCACTTGGCTCCAGAGAGGTTTTCCGCCTTCTTGGCCTCCCTGCCTGCTCTTCTCCTGGGTAATTGGCATCTACCAGGTTTATTGGCTCCCATTGACTGTACATGCAGATTAAAGCTCTCCTCATATTTTATCTGACTCTGGATCTTCCCACCTCTAGCCTCTCCATACTCCACTTTGTGACCAATACCATACGTGTAGCTTGTTTTAGGAGAGCCTGGCCCACTGGGAGTGCTTGCTAAGCATTGGTCATTGTTACACTACAGCTAGTATTTTGTGTGAATGGAGTTCCAATCCCTGTGCACCCTCCTGTAAATATCCCCATGGAAGCTCCCTCTTTTCTACACTTGACAGGATACTTTGTGTGTTTGTGTGTTGCGTGGGTGTGTTGTTCCCTGCACAGTTTTGAATCCTAGAATTTTGGACTGCCACGAAGAGAGTAAAATAGCAACAATATATAATATTGACCAAGTGCTTGTTCTTTGCTGGGAGCTTTGCTAGGTGCTGTGTCATTCAAACAGGCCTGTGAGATTCATTCTATTAGTGTCATCTGCATTTTACAGATGAGAAAACAGAAGAACAAAGAGATTCAGAAATGTGGTCAAGATGAATTTTCAGAATTAGGATTCAGATCCAGGTTATGATTCACAATGATACTTTAAAAATTGGCAGTAACTGCAGTGCAAACCTCAATCAGCTTGAACATCCCAGGGTGTTTAGAGCATTCACAGCTAATGTATCAGCTGTTTGGTTGCCTTCAGCAGAGTCTCTCTCTGAGAAGTACATACAGCCAGTATGGTGCTTTTATATACTGAGGAGACACTCATAGCCTAGAAAATCCTAATTTCATCCCTCCTAAACAATGGAAGCTGGAGGCTGTCCTCTAAATAGCTCCAGGAAATACTGATTTTTAAAAAAATCTGTATCTGTTTTCTGAAGAACAGATTTGTTACTTGCCGTAGGTTATAAAATCTGAAGTGTTTCCACTTCTTATATTTTTTCGTTTGCTCATTTGGCTTCTCCTGAGGGCTTAATTTCTGTCTCCTATTCATAACTGACCTTCCCTCCTCTGTGTGATGTTAACAGGTGCAAAGTGCAGCCAAGTGGAATGGTAGTGAGGCCAGGGGCCAGAGAGCAGACCCCTTAGCCTGACCCTGCCATTGTCAGGTGGCTTTGCCTCTCGGGCTTCAGGTCCTGCTGCTAAATGAGGGAGACCAGACAGTCCTGCAAGTCACATTTCAGGGATCTTTCTTTTTAACCTTACTGTGGGCCAAAGTATATTCAGTGCATCGGGCCTTTTATTAGACTTAACAAAGGATGGGACACAATGATTAAACAATGAAATGAGCACAGTAGAATTACCTATGTTTGAATATGTATAAAGAATATCTGTAGACAAATTAAGTCGCCCAAATTCAGTTCTTTCAACAAATATTTATTAAATCCTACTGTGTGATTACTGGGCCAGACCCTAGGAATGGATGCTGAGAGGACCAGCAATGGCTCTGTCTGAAAGAAAACCACAAATGACCAGTAAATCCTTTGGTAGCTGAAGGGTTTTTTGTTTTGTTTTGTTTTTATTTTTCTCTTTTTGTATCTGTTCTCTGAAATAAGAATGTACATAGGGGAAAAACAAGAATGAATCTAGGTGCTGGGAATGCACATCTAGAATTAGTGCAGCAATGTTCAACTGTGCAAATCTTAGTCTAATTTCTTCAGCTATTATTCTTCTAATTTATACCCTTTCAGAGGACACAAAAATCAGCCAAAAGAGCAGCAATTAAGATTTTACATTGAGGGTTATATATCTAATGTTTGCCCATAAATAATTTTGTAATGAGGGGGCTAGAAACAGTTTCCAGCCTCCAGGCAATGATAAAACGCTTTTAAAGAATCAGAGAAATTTCTATTTGTTTTAGAGATTAATGAGGCATCCTTATGCCAACTCATATTTCATCTTTGACATCCTGCAGATGAGCTGCCGCTGGGACTAAATGAAACCAGTCTAAACATCAAATGCCGCAGGGTGCTTGAATGGAGCATTAAAGTTAAATGTTGTAATGAACGATCAAGGAATGTAGAAAATGTGGGTTCTTAAAACTGTTAGCTTGCAAAAATTGATAAACTTTTAAGGCAGCCAGACACACTGGAGTCCAAAATCCTGCTCAACTGCTTCCTTGCAGCGGGACCCTAAGTGATCTGTGAGCCTGTTTCATCCCCTATTAAAGAGATGGGCAGAACAAAAAACGGCTGGGAGGTGGGGGGGGGGGTTGGGAGAAGTGCGGGGGCTGGGGGGGGGTGGGAGGTTGCAGAGGTTTTCCTGTTACCGGGAGGATGAAGGGTATTATTTAATGACGTTCATTGGCACCAAGGAAGGTTAGCATCCTACCCTGCCTTCTCTCAGGCTTTGCCCAGAAGCTCAGTAATTTGAATACTACAAATATGCAAGTTGGGTGGATTACCATTAACTTCTTTCATTTCCTAATTTAGGATTTCTTAATTAAATCTGATTCCCTCCTTTTTCACCCCCTGGTCATATAGTCTTTTGTGGGTTATTTTTGAAGGCTTGAAAATTACATCAACATTTGTCAGACCCAAGAGGAGCTCCTCTTATCCAGATCTGCACAACAGATTTGCATTTTCTCAATTCAGCTGTTCCTTACATCCTGTCAGTGGGAATAGATGCTTAAACTGAATGATAACCAGCCTCCAGCCAAAATTACATAACTGGAGCATTCTTATCTATCACCCACAACTGAACTCACATCCAAATGACTCTTAAACAGCAGCATAATTCATTGTTTATTGGGGCCATTCAAATTATATCTTGAAACAGCATTTATATTAGGTCGCTCAAGAAATAATTGCTGATTTGTATTTTCTCCTTAACATGCTGACTTATATTTCCTTGCTTTCATTATTTTTTGTTTTGTTTTATGATGTAGCTCCAGCAGCGCCTGGGATGGGGTAGGAACCCACTAAATATTTGTTAGATGAATGAATATGTTTCCTCAAAAGTCAAAGCCAACTTTTAAGATAGCAGTTAAGTTATGGGAGTGCTTGTCAGTTTGCCTTGGCTATTACATGCAAGAGGTAATTTACCAACTGTATCTACAATGCCTGGACTTACTGCCTCTGGAGGTAGGTAGACTATGGTGAGGCTGCCCCTAGAGCTAGAGCTGAGAAAGGGCACAGTCCTTTACAATTGAAGGGACTCCTAGCAGAGGAGAGCCAGAGTTGAGCCAGAAGCTGAAACTGAAGAATAGTAGTTTCTAGCACTTCAGGGGCCTTACCTTGTGCTAGACATTGTTCTAAGCATTTGATCTGCAGAAACCCATTTCATCTTCCCAGCAACCCTCTGCTCTGGGCACTCTTATTTCAGTCTTATGGATGAGGACCATGTAGCAGCAGGGTTAATCAACAAGCTCAGGGGAACAGCTCGTAAGTGGTGGAGCCAAGATTCAAGGTGAGCACTACTCTGCTTCCTGAATCTAGGACTTTGACACCAGACTGCACTGGTGGTCAGTCTAATGGCTTGCCAGAAGCACAGGCCACGTTCTGTTAGGAAAGATCAGTTTGGAAGCTGTGGAGAAAAGGAGTGAGAAGCGAGGCAGATCTGGGGCAGTCACCCAGACCAGGCCCCCATGCAGGCCTCTTGGGGCAAAATCATTTATTTAGACTGTCCTTGGTGACACTCCAAGGAAAACTAGAGGGAATAAAGCAGAAGGGGGGGCGGGGAGAGCAATAAGGGGCACCTAATTAGTATGCCATAGAGCACCTGGCCAATTAGAGACACATACACACACACACACACACACACACACACACACGAATGAGGCAGTCTATGTGGTGATACATGGTCCAGTGGTTCAGAGCCCAGCTGCCAGAAACAGGCTGACTTTGCTTCCAACCTGACTCTGCGCCAGACAAGCTGTGTAAACTTGATGATTTTGATTTTGATTAATTCATAATTCAATTCCTTTATTCATGTCATTCTAAATATTATGAATTGAACTCTGGTGAATTTCATAAAGATCCTAATCCAATGGTTTGTTCCTTGTTAGATATTTTAATCTCCTAAATGCTCAGAATAAAATTCAGCCTATTGAATAAGCAGATATTTCTCTAGTCCTTAATTTTTGGAGGAGATTACAAATGGGAAACTAAACCTTAAGTGAATGATTTCCATGAATTATCTCAGCCTTAAGATTAGATGAAGACCCTGTGCATTTCCTGAAATGAATTTAACAAATGAAATGGATTTATTTAATCCTTTCCCAGATAGTTGTTTTCAACTATGTATAAAAAGGTTACAGGGGATCCCTGGGTGGCGCAGAGGTTTGGCGCCTGCCTTTGGCCCAGGGTGCGATCCTGGAGACCCGGGATCGAATCCCACGTCGGGCTCCCAGTGCATGGAGCCTGCTTCTCCCTCTGCCTGTGTCTCTGCCTCTCTCTCTCTCTCTCTCTCTCTCTCTCTCACTGTGTGCCTATCATAAAAAAAAAAAAAGGTTACAGAGAAGGGGCACCTGGGTGGCTCAGTCAGTTAAGCATCTGCCTTTGGCTCAGATCATGATCTCAGGGTCCTGAGACTGAGCCCTGTTTCAGCAGAGAGTCTGCTTCTCCCTCTCCCTCTGCATCTGTCCTACCTACTTCCCTCATGTATACACACTGTCTGTCTCTCTAAAATAAATTAGTAGGGACGCTTGGGTGGCTCAGTGGTTGAGCGTCTGCCTTTGGCTCAGGTCGTGATCCTGGGGTCCTGGGATCAAGTCCTACATCCAACTCCCTGCAGGGAGCCTGCTTCTCCC